GAATGATGTTGTTGGGTATAATGAAGGGAATTCATAAAGAAAGAAAATACAGATAAGTCATGAAAATAAAAGGAAGAAATAAAATCTGTAACTCAAATGTATACATAGCAGCTGCTAATAATGAAATATGTGATAGGAATCATACCAGGGGTGCCTTAAATAAAATATGACCGAAGTGATCGCGGCCGTGGTAGTGGTAAAAGATGATGATCGGAGTCATGGTGGCCATGGCCAAAATAGAAGATAATGACCGGAGTCATGGTGGCCGGAGCCATAATAAAAGATAATGACCAGAGTCATAAAGGCCGGAGCAGTGATAAAAGATGATGACCGGAGTCATAAAGGCCGGAGCCGTGATAAAAGATGATAATCGGAGTCATGGTGGCCAAAGCCATAATAAAAGATAATGACTGGAGTCATAAAGGTCGGAGCCGAAGTAGAGTATGTGACATGTATGCATAGCAACAGAAATCGAAGTAAAACATGTGTTTTTGTGGCCGTAACCGAAGTGAAACATGCAACACTAAGTCATTGTGGCCGTAGCCGAAGTGAAACACTTTGCAAGTTAAAAAGTGTAATCGTAAAAGTAAGCAGAAGTATTGGGTTAGGCTTAAGCATAAAGACGGGAGTCATAATGGCCAGAGCCATAATACAATATAATGACCGGAGTCATAATGGCCGGAGCCGAGGTGAAATGTAATGTAGGATTATTGCGGCCAGAGCCAAAGTGAAACACTTTGCAAAATTGAGAATGTGTAAAAGTAAACGAAGGTGTTGAAATTGGCGTAAGTGGGCCCGTCTGACAAAGGGGTAGCACGTGGTGTGGCAGTTGTCTTTAGAACAACGTGCGCAATAAATGCGGCTGTAAAAAGATAACTGCAACAGTTAACCGGGTGTATTTAAAAACGAATCGCCGAGTTCCAAACGGTACCGTTTGGGGTTGGCCGTCGAATTCCAAACGGTGTCAATAGGAACCGTAAGATTAAACGAATCTCAGCCATTGAGATTTAATTTTGCCCAGAAGTATAAATAGGTATTTTTCTGCAAAAAAAGGTTTACTTGCATTTCTTTTCCTGCAAAACTTCTGCGGAAAGCTTTACTATGTGTTTCCTGCGCGTGAACTGCGGCATCATTTGGGGATTTCAACATCAAGCTTTCGAAACCGAAATCAGGTAATATATACGAACCCTTGATTTTGGTTTGATCGAAGTGCCATTCTCCTTTCTCCCTTTCTGTGGTTGATTTAGAGTCCTTTGAAGGGAGTTAGGGTTATAAATGAGAATGATTTTGAATATGCGAGAGAGGGGTTTTTTTTTTTTTTTTTTTTTTTTTAAAGGGGTCCTAACTTCATTCCTCCCCCCTACTTCGTGCAGAGATTGAGAAAATGTCGTCAGAAGGAACAGTTAGTATAGTAGGGAGTGAGGTGCTGCCCCTAGACTATGGGAGCATGGACTCAGAGAGTAGTCCGTCTCCATCTAGTTCGGAGAAGACGGTGGAGGGGGTGAGAGGAGATGAGGTGGTGGAGGTTGGGGGGAATGAGGTGGTAGAGGTTGGGGGAAATGAGGTGGTAGGGGTTGGAGGAGATAGCATACCCATTACTGTAGTAGAAGTAGAGGGTAGAGGAGAGAGAGATTATGATGTGAATGCAGAGATAGTGGAGGAGGTGAAGCAGTATAGATCTGAACTAAGGACCAGGGATAGCTTGGGTCACTTAGTAGAAAATTACGAGATCTCTTCTTGAGTGTTAGTTAGGCCAACGGGGGTAGAGGAGAGGGCCTGCTCTGCTCCTCGGGATCATTGGATGCCTGTATATTCCCACTATTTGATAGCGGGACTCAGGTTTCCACTTCCCGAGCTGCTAGTAGGTTTGCTAGTAGATTATGGTATAGGGTTGACACAGTTGGTCCCCAACGCTATGAGGGTAATAATAGGATTTTTAGTCTATTGCCGAGCTAAGGAGATTAGCGTGCCAACCGTTAATTTGTTTAAGTATTTTTTTGTTTTAAAGGGGGGTAGCAGGAGGAATAAGGGGTGGTATTATTTCACCCATAGGGTAGCGAATAGGGAGAGCAGGGCTTTGTTTATTGCGGGTCCTTCATCCATTAAAGGATGGAAGGAGAAATTCTTTTTTGTAGATGACACGGAGTAGGGGAGGGGGGATGCTGAGGTGAGGGAGTTAGCATCTTGGAAGGCTAAAAGAGCCAACCAGAATAGGTTTAGTTTAAACGAGGATGAGGAGGAAGAAGTGAGGAAGTTGGTGAGGAAGGGGGGGATTTACTGAACATTTTGGACCTCACCAGTGCGCAATGCATAGAAGCTGCTGAGCTCTATGGGCCAAGTGCTTTAAGTGAAGGTTGGTTTAATTTTGTGTTGTAGTATTGAATGTAGAATATAAAACTGTAATTAATACTGTGTTTTCTTGCTTTGCAGCTGAAATGGATCAGTTTTTGAATACTGCTGGAGGAGCGGCCATCCCCAAGAAGCCAAGGAAGAAGTCAAGGACTACAAGCAAGCAAGTGGATGAGGGGAGAGTTAGGAATGAGGTAGTGCCCACCACCGGAGCTGAGGCAGAGGAGGAGGAGGTGCCACAATTAAAGAGGAAGGGTTGGGAGGAGAGGAGGGCACTACAAAAGAAGAGGAAGGTGGTGGAGGAGGAGAGGGGGAGCAAGGTTCCCTAGTTCGTACCTCAGCCTCTTCCTGTTGAGTTGGATCCTAAACTCAGACAGTTGGAGGAGGGGGCTGAGGTATGAGCTCCCGGTAAGGGAAAGGGTCCTGTTCCCCCAACAGCATTTCAGAGCAGCCTGTTCGAGGTGAAAAACATGACGGGGGCTAGGTGGTTCATCAACAGCACTTTCCCCGAAGTGGACAAATGCAACGCACGGGACGAGGCTCTGAGATACTGTGGAGCTTCTGTGGTAAAACACGTTTTAGAGGTATGTTGAGTTATTGGTGTTGTTTGTTAATCTCTTCTTTTTTCTCTCCTATTTCTCTTAACCTTTGCACTAACTTGCAGAGCGCGAGCTGGGTAAATGGTCTAGCCCAGGAGTTCATGGATAGTGTGAAGGAGCGCTCACTCTTGTAGAGGCAGTGTGACCAGCTGTAGAAGGAGAAGGAGGAGCTAGAGAAGAAGAATAAAGAACTGCAAGAGTCGCTGAACGAGGTGGTTCCAACTGTTTCACAGTTGGAGCAGGAGAGGTCTTCCTTGAGCACTAAGCTCGTCTTTGAGGAGAGCAAATGAAGGATCTCTGAAAGCGAGCGTGAGGCTCAGGCGCAAGAAATAAAGCTGGTGAATGAGGCTTTCGCGCAGCTGAAGGAGAATGTGCAGACCTTGGTGCACAATGGGATGAAGGAGCACATCAGCAACTTCATCAGCTCCAGCTCGTTTGACAACATCGTCAACTTATACCGACTGCCCACTGCCATCATTGCATTCACGGACTGCAGGAAGAAGGTGAAGGCAGAATATCCGGAAGTGGACATTACCAAGATCACCTTCGGCGAGCAAGAAGAAGGAGTGGAGGAAGACAGTGAAAGCATGTCAGCAGACTTCCGTCCTTAGATCAAACTGAGGTGGAAGCATGATGTAGACGGATGTGCTGTTTTCCCTCCAGAATTTGACTTCGAGTTCATGGCAGTGGAGGAAGAAGGGGCAGAGGTAGAGGAAGACGAAGTGGAGGCAAGAGTGGAGGGAACCGAAGTGGATGAGAGGCAACCAGTTCCAGAAGTGGAGATTCACTCAGTTCCTTCTGACGATGAGCAGCCTCCTCTGCCAGACGAGCAGCAGCCAACACAGCCACCTCTTCAGGCTGAACAGAAGCCAGTGGCACCACCTCCACCAGCAGAGAAATAATTTTGCTTTTTAATTTTTGTAGAAGCATTAAATAATTTGTAATACTGTTATTATGTTAAATGAAAATTCAGTTTTGAAATTATGTGTTTGTTTATGTTTGCTTTATATTTTTGTTATTGTTTATTAATAAAAGAATTGAGATTATTTGAAATGTGATTTGAAAGAAAGTTAGCCACTTCGGAAATGAACCAAAGGGAAGTAAGTCACTTCAGACGAATTAAGAAGAAGTAAATCACTTTATGTAAGTTAGGAACAAGTATATCACTGCGAACAAATTTAAAAGGAAATAAAGTACTTCATATGTGAAGTGACTTTTATTAATCAGAAGTGAGATTCAAGTACTGATTGACTTTGGATACATAGAATAAGAGGTAAAATGAATCTCAGTAATCACAAAGTAAGAACTGTAAGACACAGATTTCTTGAAAGAATTTTATTAGGGATAAAATTTCTTCAAGTTATTGACATTCCAGACTCTAGGAACTCTCTTTCCTTCAGCGTCTTGGAGGACATAAGCACCAGGGTGTGGCACTTCAGCCACGGTATAAGGGCCTTCCCAATTCGGGGTGAGTTTGCCAAAACGAGTTTCGAACCCCGTTAAGCCAGCTTTTCTGAGAACAAGGTCTCCTATTTTGAATGTTCGAGGGCGGACTCGTTTATTGTAGAAGTTGGCTAATTTCTGCTTGTCTATAAGAGTTCAAAGCCGAGCTTCTTCTCTGACTTCAGCAAGCAGATCAAGGTTTTCCCGAAGCAGTTGTCCATTTTGTCCTTCATCGAAATGGGTGACCCGAAAGCTTGGGACTCCTATTTCAATAGGAATGACTGCTTTGGTACTAAAGGCCAGGTGGTAGGGTGTTTCACCTATTTCATGAGATTATATGCTTTAGAATATGCTTTACATGTTATGCATATTTAATCTAAGGTAGAATTTTAGGTGAATAAGGGAGATAAAATAAAATTGGAATGAAAGGAACTGGGGTTGGAAAGAGTACCTGTGGCAGTTTGGCTCGTTGTTCTGTATGCCCAGAGGACGTTGTTGAGCTCGTCTGCCCACTTGGCCTTGTGCTGCTCCAACCTCGGCCTTATTCCTTCTAGAATGCACTTATTGATAGATTCTACCATACCATTGGATTCCGGATGATAAACCGAGGTGAACTGCAATTTGATCCCATAACCAGAACAGAAATCTCGGAATGAAGAGAAATTGAACTGAGTTCCATTATCAACCACAATCTGATTTGGAATCCCATATCTGCAGATGATTGAACTGAAAACAAAGTCTTCGACCTTTTTAGAGGTACGACTAGATAATGGTCGAGCTTCAACCCACTTTGTGAAATAATCTACACCAACGATCAGATGGGTTACACCACCAACCCCTTTCACGAATGGGCCTAAAAGATCCATCCCCCACTGGGCAAATGGCCATGGTGCTACCAAGTTCGTGAGTTCCTCTGCTGGTTGGTGAGTCAGATGTGCAAAGAATTGACACCTCGGGCATTTCTGAACAAAGTGAGTGGCATCCTTATACATGTTTGGCCAGTAATATCCCTGCCGTAAGACTTTGTGAGCCAGGGTTCTAGCACCAACATGACTCCCGCAAACACCTTCATGTACCTCCCGAAGTGCATACTCGGCTTCGTAGGGATTCAAGCACCGTAGAAGAGGGAGTGAAAAGGATCTATTATAGAGGACCCCATCAATGAGTGTATACCGAGATGCTTTCTTTCTCAACTTCATTGCCTCCTGCTTGTCCACAGGTACTACCCCCTTTCGCAAAAAGGAGATAATTGAGTCAGTCCAACTCGGCGTGTCAGGGTTTGTGCTAATTTCCATCATCCGAGGCTTTGTGAAGCTTGGTTCATCTAAGACCTCCACGAAAACGGATCTGGAACTTAAAGAACTATCAAAGGCGAACTTGGAGAGTGAATCTGCCTGTTCATTCTCAGTTCGGGGAATTTTGCTCAGATAGAATTTCTGGAATTTGCATTTCAGCTCGGCCACCAAGGCTACATATTTCACCATCACCGGATCAACGACTTTGCAGATTGAGTTGATTTGGTTCACCACCAGTTGGGAGTCACTGTATACTTGAATCGTATTGATTTTCAACTCCAGTGCTAACTGTAGACCAAGCAATAAAGCTTCGTACTCAGCCATGTTGTTTATTGCATCAAAATTAAATTTCAGGGCATGTTCACTTCGGTATCCATCTGGGCCAATCAAGAGAGCACCAGCTCTTGAACCCTTGTTACTAGATGCCCCGTCAACATACAAGGTCCAGTCGTTGGGCTTTGGATCAGGGGTTGGAGGACATGGAGTGCATTTGACAATAAAATCTGCTAGTGCTTGAGTTCGGATTGCTGATCTTTGCTGAAATGTTATCTCGAATTCCCCCAGTTCTACTACCCATTTAATTAATCTTCCAGAGCACTCTGGTTTCTATAGAATCTGTCGGAGAGGTTGATCTGTGAGGGCTATAATTGGGTGTGATTGGAAATACGGTCTTAGCTTCCTGGCCGAAGTGACAACTGCTAACGTTGCTTTCTCAGCTATAGGATACCTCAGTTTTGCTCCGTGCAGTACACTACTGATATAATAGATTGGTTTTTGCTGCTTGGTTTCTTCTCTTACCAGAACCGAACTGATGGCTTCATCTGAAATCCCCAGATACAAATAGAGAATCTCTCCATTTATGGCTTTAGTCAGCAAAGGCGGTGAGTTAAGATAAGACTTCAGCTCTTCGAATG